TCCTTCACAACAATTAAAGACTAGATTTATATGAGATTAAAATTTAATAAATACATTTTCGGGAAGTCTGTGAAATATACTAATGCTTACCATTTCTTATATCATTATCTTAATATTATAAGTATCGTTTATAAACATGTGTACATGTATGTCTATATATTATTTTTGTAGATTTTTGTGTATATTGCGTATGAAATGATATGCCGTGTCACACCGCTTATTAAAAAATGATAGGACATTTTTCTTTTTTAAATAAGCAAAATGATTGAAAAAGTATGAGTTTGCCAATGCAGCAGTATCTGTTTAAATTCACTTAAAATTGATTACGTCATGTTATTAATTTCTCATTACTCATCAATATAAACATGAAACATTTGTAAGAACTCTTTAGCTTTTAACGTTATTGATCTAGAATATTGTAAATTGTTTCTGGCTATACTTAAACGGGCATTAACGGTACGAACGGTCCCCAGGGGCACACCGCTTCACTGCCAAGTTATTATTGATAGTACATTAGCAGGCCTTTGTTTCTTCCAATTATGCAAAATGAAGAGGAGGCGAAATAGTCTGAAACAGTGCCACGTTATATATAAGTTCAGGGTTTAGATGTGTTTTTTTCTAGTAAATATGTACAATGTATATCCGGATCTAGATATGGGACAAGATGATTTTAAAGCAGACATTCCGTCAACATTCCAGTCTATTAGAAAACACTTTTTTTCTATAAAAAAAACATGAATAATTTCATACTAAAAATTTTTTACTTGATTAATATTGATATACTTGTTTTTCACTTACTTGACAACATTTGGTATTTTGTGCTAAATAGACAGTCACAAATACACTAATTTTTTCTATAAATGATATTCTATTACATTATATATGTAGATTTCACACCTACCATAACTATTGATTCGCCATATGTCGCGATATAATATAACATTATATAAAAAGCCCAGAGTCATAAAAATGTGTGATACAAATACACTATATAACAATGGTTCAATCAACTAATGAGCCAATGAATTAACGTGTGACGTACCCAGAAATCCTAAGGGATTTTCTGTCTTCTGTCGTCGGTATACCAATTTAAAAGCTGGCATGGTTAATCATTTATAGCGTCCGCTTTCCACAATATTTCAGACTGCTGTATAAATCCAAGTTACTGTGTATCGTTATAGTACAAACAAGTAAACTAAACTAGTGTTCTTTTTTTCTAAATATAGTAAAAAATCTTAAACTGGGTAGAGATGATTACATAAGTTTTAACGTGTATATATATAATACAAATATAAACATTGTACTTCGAAATATGTAAACACATATACATTTATGAACATGAACAAGGCCGTTGGAAATATTGTGATGTAATCATTTTAATATTTAATTGACATTTAGAACATTCAAGCACTAGCTCCGAAATTTTATAATATTATATTTTTATAGTATTGCTTTCTCTCAATTTTAATACTTTTCTTTCGTACAAATTGATATGTACCTGTTCGATATACCTTTAGCCGGCCTTTATTATACAGAATGACAAAATGATAGGGAATGGTCTGAAAAAAGTGCCACATTATAAGTAAGTTCAGGGTTGATTTGTAGTTGTTTCTAGTTAAAATATACTTGTTTATCTACAAATAGACAAGGTATATTAATTATTGACATTTCGCCTTTTTTCCAGACAAATAATAAATAAAAACAGTTTTAATCAAAACCTATGACAAATCATGAAATATTTTATATATAATTATCTTGTTTAAGTCAACTCATGTTACTCGGCAGACGCTGTGTAGTAATAAAATAATAAAGACATAACCGCTTTTAAAACTGAGCAATATAAGTTACGTACGTATCACGTGATTCACCCACCATCAAATGATTGTTTTAAAAATCGGGTGGCGTTGTTGTGTACACGAGCTGAAGCGTATATAAGTGTTGTTTTAAAAACTATAGAATTCTATTGATTTTCATTTGTCGTAGGTTTCAATGCTTTTAAATGAGAATGATTGACTGTAGAGATTTGATGTTTACATAGGACAAGTTAAAAGGTTGGAAATCAAACTCCCCCACAACTTAGTCAAATATTTATTATGTTGTTCAACAATGCCCTTTGTTTTTACATTTTACGTCTATTTTAAGTCTGTTGTTTTCAGATGAATGTAACATTGATATCATTGATTTAAAGGAGGAAAATTTAGCGTTACACACATTGTATAAATAATAAACAATAGTTGATTTGTACTTTCGTGAGTTTGGAGCGTGCGTCACAACTGCGTCCATCCGTTCAGACTTGCTGTTATAGTTGGTCGATCCTTTTTGTTTGGTATTTGTTCATCTTTACATTATGTATTCCTGCATGTGTTCGTTCGGCTGTTACACGGTTATTGTTTACTAGACCGTACTCCCGCTGGTCCGGTCGCTCATATAAGATTAATAATAATTGAATCGTAAGCTTACTATTATATGAGCATTACATAAGTAACGACACGGACACGTCGGTATGATATAGTTATAAGCTATAAGGGTGCATGAGAAATAAAAGAAAAAGAATATACACTTCAAGAGTTAATTACTAAATGGTTAAAAAAGTTTTCTGATACATCGAATTTTTTGGAACATACATTATTTCATTATGTTATATCTAATATAAGTCTCCATGCATATTCGAACATATACAAACTCTAACTCTAACGAAATATTCCGATTTAGTATATTGTTTACAATTTAGAGCCGAAATTAATTATGGAATTGAAACATAGCATTATGTGATCATATTATATTGTCTAGGAACTAACACGCATTTGTAAGTCTAAATGTATTAAATGTTTGATGCGAATTTCATAACGTAATACTAAAAAGTGAAGCAAAACCGATTATGTTAATTTACGCAACCAGAAATCGTAACTGTGTTCTGTTTAACCTATTCCCTGCTTCGATTAATAACAAATTAAATTGGGATGTTCCGTAGAATTTGAGCAACATATACAGCTAAATGTTGAATAGTAATATGTCTAAAATCTTTTGCGTGATTAAATTATTCCATGCAACATATTAATATAGTATTATAATTCACAATATAATTAAAAATATTAATCTATCTTATCTCTTTAATCTTATCTTATCTTTTATCTCAACTTATCTTTCTTCTTTTATCTTATCTTATCTCTTCAATTAGTATTGCTACGTATTGTATAATAAAATAATTGTACAAAAATATCCTTCTTATTTAAAAAAAACCGGCCAAAATCTACACATTTTTTTTCCATTTCTTTATAAGAAAGATCTTCGTTATTTTTCATCAATCTGTGTGTGTTTTGTCTGTGACGCTATCGGCAAATCAGCAATATTATATTTGTTTACATTAAGTAAACACAATCAGAGGGGAGACTCCATTATGAGCAGCCCTATTGAAAGCTCGTTCTAACGGAACAATCGACCAGTAGACATTTCAGAGACTGTCTTATATATTTACATATCACTTCTCTTTGTTGAAAAGTCGCCGTGATTTTTTCAAGTGATACCATTATGTTGTTCAAACGAAATCAACGCGTGGCCAACGTAGCAATTAGTTAGGTAGAAATAACTCACCATTACATTATCATCATTGATTAACTAAAAGGTAAAATCGTTCAATAATTAGAACGAGCATCACACAATTTGTGTATCTTAATCATCGCTAATGATTGCGCAACTTTCACAGGCTCGCAGAAAATGTGATAAAGTTTTTTGATGATTATTGCGCTCTGGTTAAAGTCATTCTAAACTCACTATGACAAAATATCAGCAAAAATTATTGTTACTATATATGCTTTAAGTTACATGCGTACGTGTTACTACATGTATAATAAGTCAACATATTAATGACGTTCTCTTATTATCATATGCTTAAAGTATTTAAACTAAAAAACAAATAAGCATGTTCTTGGTCATCTGAGGTCAGGTTGATACACTCCTTTTATTACGGATACTGAATTCAGATTCTATCAAATACTAGTAGCGAGCTCATTCTATCTGCTCTATAAATATAGAAATAAAACCAACGAGCGAGAATGCTGCAACAGATATCGGTCTCTTTGTACATTTGAAACTAACGCTACTAGTGAATCAGGTGTGTTGTTTCTCATATATTATGGAGTGTTTCTTTGATCATCGCATGTGACTGAAACTCGGGGTATTTTAGTTCAATGTATATTTAATTCATTCGTGGCACATGAATGTGTAGTTTTCTGTTATAGTGTTTTCAATATTTTGATTATGTTGGTGGCATTCGTTGGTGGAATTTGTTAGATTTATTTCTGGTATTATTTCGTGTTGTACTTTCATTATTTTCTAATTGTTCTAAAGGAAATTCATTGTGTATATTTATAATACCTGTAAACGTTAAATGCTCTTTTTATGACTTAAAATTATTGCTTTACTTTAAGGGGTCAGTTATAAAGAAATTAATCGAAATAATCATAATTTCAAAATAACAAATTTTTATCATATCATCCTTGACTTAAAGAACAAAGGTGTTTAATGTTTTAAAGTAGTTGTACCCGACGAGCTATTGAAAGAAACAACAACAACAAATGATGAAATGAATAGTACGTCCACGATCAAGAGAAAAGGGGGCAACATGACCGATTAATACACCTGATGATATCGTCAGAATAAGTGATGTGGACGAACGATATTGTGACATTTTACATCATAATTTTACAGCTTTTGTAATTTTTAATGTCCCAGCACCATCCCTGTGGAATATAGTTTATGGATTTATATTAACAATTAAGTGTTAAAAGAGATTGAAATTGTTGTGGATATAGTGTACGTAATAGAAGCACATTCATTTTTATAGCTTTAGATCGATATTCAACAATGTAGCATCTGAATGTAAACCACTTTTATTCCAAAATAACGCGAGCGAGGAACAATTGGTTCATTAAATATTGAATGGATGAAGCACACCCGATATTGACTAACTCTCCACAGCTTCCCAATATGTACCCCCATCCCTTTGGGACTTCTGTAAACCATTTACCATAGTCTAGAATACACTATCGGATAGCAGCTCAGTCCGCGTCGTTAACTTTTCGGGAAAAGGATCGTTAACATTTCGGGAAATAGAAGGATTAATATTATTCTGCAGGAATTAATGCAGCGCCAGGGTAGGATTTTTTGTTAAGCGTCATAAATTGGAACTGACAGGAGAAAAAACATAATGACATAAATTTTTGACGGCTTTTGAATGTGTTTTTTAATAGAACGGAAACATTTTCCAGGACAAGCGCATTTCAATAAAATGTTTATATATATTGTAACTTTCATATGTAACCTTCACAATTTTATTAATTTTATTTTTTTCTTTCGGACCGATTTATAACTAATCAATTGACATTTTATTCTTATTTCTTATTGATAATTTTTGTATACATGTATATATAATGAAAACAAATTAAAACCATGTATCAATTTCAGTTTTTGATGTACTACTTTTTATTTTATATAAGTATAAATACGAGATTTAAAGTCATAACGTGTTGACAGTTTGTGAATTCAAGATAAAAATTTAATCATTTGACAAATAGAAAAAAAAACGTCAGGTAAATGAATCATATTTTGTTCCATTATAAACAATTAATTTTGCGATCGTAACAGGCGGGTGCATATGAAATATACCTTAGCGGTCATGACATACTTGAGATACGTTCTTTTATTTTGTTTTTAATGTTAGAGGTATATAAGTTCGACATTCTTACTAACTCTGTCTACTTGTTGACATCAGCTGTTCGAGCACTGGAATTAATCTTTTCATTACTTTCCTAGCTTCAAAAAGTGGTCGTAAAAGCTAGCCAAATAAATTATTTAGAGGAACGAAAGGTGTCAAATTCCTATTGCATCGACGGAAACTTATAGAGCACATCGTTTCAGCGTAAATTGCACACGGTTATGTTCCGCTAAATAAATTAAATCGTTTTTATGTTTCTCAGCCGGTGCACGTGCTAGGCTCGTGAGCGTTTGTATCAGATATCAAAATTGTATTAACTTAAAACCAACCCATTTCAATTTCAGGAAAAGAAGTGGTTCACACTATCTCCGACATGATACGGTGACAAGTACGTTAGATTGGAAAGCTTTTATTTAATCAAAAGTTTCCTGTTCCACGGCAGACGACACATTTCTAACTTTGGAAAATACCCAAGGGGATCCGAAAAACGCAACAAGGCAGCGCAGCACGTTTCAAAGATTCAGAGACGTTTCCTGTCAACATATTTTAGAAAGGAAAACATGTATCGTTTTCTATTTGTGATAGAAAAATAGTGTGTATATTCAGGGAGAATTTCTTCTCGGATTTAGATATCAAGTTTTACAATCAAGCGGCCGCAGATATTTTCTAAAGCCGCGGAGGGGTCTGCTTTGTGTCATCACGTTCCAGGAATATTGTTCAATAAAAAAGAACGAAAAGTACAAATATGAAGGATTTACAGAGAAAGATAGTGGAATTAAAAGACGTGAAGGATGAAAAAATGATGAAACTAAAAAATTTCAGACCTACAAAGTAAGTATTAAATGCCTTTTACATGTATAAATTTGTATGTTTTCTTTTTTTTTTCTTGTGAGTAAAACTTTTACATAAAACATTATTTTGATTCATTGGGGAAACTATTCTTTGTCTCGGAAATGACAGTTAATAACTCGTTCTTATTAGATTTATTTACAAACATTTCAACTCACATTTAAAGACTTATAATTTCCATTTGTGCTCCAAATTTGTGTAAGAATAATACTTGTGTTATGAAATGAATAACAATGAGATATACATGTAGTATTAAAACGAAATACTGGATGCCAATGAGATAAAAAATTTAATTAAACACTCATCCTACAGTAAAGTTTTATTAAAAGTTCGGCGTTTGTTTTTAAAGTTCCACTTCTTTTCGTGTGATAATAGTAGATATAAGCCATGAAACACTTTTGGAAGTTCTGCAACTATAGTAAAAAACGTGTGTCAAGTGATTAAGAAAAAAGAAATATAATGGTAACTTATTACGGTAACTTTCGATACTGAAATCTTTAATAATTATGCTGATAAAAACATTACGTTGATAATTTTAAAAAAAATGGTGTTCAATTTGAGATATTTTGGTTCCAACTTGAAGCATATACTTCGCAGAAACCACACTGTATTTTTCTGTAAAAGAACAGACAAAAGAAACCACAGTTTGAAGTGAAATCAATCTATTTGATTATTGTGTAAGCTCATGAATATAAAATCACTATCTGTCAGTGCATGTACTTACAAGTTACTACATGAAAATGCTCCGGAAAATTCCGCCATAAAGTTGTCTTTCATTTCTAAGGAAATTTAATTACAGGGAGTTAATGTAAAAGCGTCTGTATCCAACAGAACGGTGCGACATTTTATCTCCACATGTGACAGTTCCTCTTTGTTATTTATCTTAGAGCTTTTGTACATGTGACAGTAGTAAATGCAGACAAGTTCATTAAAAAAAGGACGAAAATACTTCCTAAACCCTTCTTATACACTATAAAGTTTGAAAGACATATGTAGAACGAAATTGAATCAACAAGTTTTAATAACATCCATAAATGTCAGTTGTAATGGAATATTCAAGGCCAAAAATAGCTTACCATATTATATTTATAATATGAATATTTAAACTTATTTTTTCTTTATGTAATATTGTTAGATAAAACAAGGCATGTTATATCTAAAATAGAAAGCCAACAATTCGTGTGCATCAAAAATAGAGGTAATATTAGTTCTTTATATTATTATTATTATAATTATCGTTATTAATCGGAGCAACCGGTAAATATACACATAGTCATTTATTCTCATCCGAACTATCAAATGTAAGTACAATATAATTATGTAATTTATTATTAAATCTAAGACGAAGCTATTTTCTTTTTCATCCCTGACACACACAGGAGAAATAATTTTATCTCAAAGATAAAAATCGTGTCTTAATTGTTTAATTTTAAGTAAATGTCAATTTAAGAAACAGGAAATATTCTCTTTTAGTATCATAAAACAAGTTATGTTACATTCTTTGACAAATTATAGCCATCTTCATATTCTTAAACCATTTTTATGTTTAAATGTTAAATTCTGCTTAAGCCGGTGCTATGGAGCGTCGACGGTAGTTTGCACTTGACAGTATCGTCCATGAACAGGCTCAGTCAAACCGAGCTTGCAACATTTTCAATTTTGGCGTTTAAGACTTTCTTAAGAGATTCTTATTTTTGTATTTTCTGACCCATTAATTTAAGCAAAAACTGATAACTGATATCATCTCACAACTAATCATTTATTTCACATTTTTAAATTATTTGTCAGTAATGTATGAATATATATTTACTATTTTATTCCTTTGAATAAAACGTGAAAGGAAACGGGATAAAAGGCTAAATAATCCCGCGAACAAATTATTCAAACTTAAGCTAAACACACATTTATTTACTCGAAATATGATGTATAAATTATTATAACATGTTTTGTTAATACCAAAATAATGTCAGATTTGATGCAGTTTTTTCTAAAGGCAAAGAAGGGATAACAAATACCCATTGAGTGTAAAACTAAATGTTTCATGTTTTTATGGTTACAACGATTTATTTCACTGGACTATCTAAAATATATAAATACTTGATGAATAATTTGAGTATGAAGGTAAAGGACAATAGGCTCATATTTTCATAGTCAAGTTGAGCTGCATTGACTTTATAATTCAAAAGATTGACTGTTAAAATGGTGTTTGACCAACAGGTGATATTTGAAAATGTTTAGAATAGTTATTTATAGTTTTTGCGAAGTGAATTATTAAATCATAAGGAATTATTGCAAAATGAAAACTTATTTATATATTCACATGTTCACTGACTATATACCCTTGGGTAGGAATTATGTCACTTTAAATCGCTTACTCAGTAAGTGAGGTACTGAAAGATAAGAAGGGGCTCGTCCAATTTAATTTTCTACCCTCAATGAAAAGATAAATCAAAATAAAATTATTTGTTCTATACCATTTGCTGAAACTTACTGTGTGCTGTTAATGACGTATTTTATATTTCACCGGTTTGGCGTATTCTCCTTACAAATATTATACTAAATTGAAAAAGAAACCGCTTTTTTGGTTAAGATTTCATTCCAAAGTCGTTTGTAAAACTGGAACGAATGCTCGTGCATGTCGGCCATGCATACGTAAAATATATGTCAGGTACCAGACCGAGTTGCATAACCTTACCAATCAGTCAAACTCGTCCAAAAGATATGATTATTTATTTTGACAGCAACACCTTATTTTTCTCCATGATGCATATTATGGCCTCATTGGTCTCCCGTGCATCAAAATACATGTAGTATCATTACAACAAATCGGCATAAACTATCAGTGAATTACTGAATTCAAAATTAACAGGTCATCTTGTAGTAGATTATAACATTTAAGGACATGATTGATGACATGTTCGGGGTCCGTACTCTTAGTGTCTGAAAGGGCGGATGTACCTTCATTAAGCCTAGAATTCTTACATGTACATACATACTACCCAAACCCGTTTTAACATCCTATATGTTCTTCCAAACTAGTAATCTACCATCACGTACTGGTGCACACACTAAACTGTTACAATAAAAAACCCATCCTCGCCATCATAAAACACCCAGGAAAAAACTTCTTCAATCAATTATGCAACAATATTTTCAGCAAAGTAGTCAGCAATTCGCAAAAGTAATTAACCTCGCCAGAACTGTAGCCAAGTAATCAATTTTACAAAGTTTTTAATGTTTCCATTTTTAGAATATGATTATTGTAATATATCACATACTGTCTGAGTAGGCGTGACATACATTATATAAACTAATGTAATAGTTTACAACTAAAATATAATTGCCAAGCCATGAATATTCTGCATGAAATGGAGAGTCCTTATTATTCGCTACAATTTACGGAACGTCCGTAGTTCTACTCAGGAGCCCGTTTGTGAGTGCAATGATGTATTGGGGAAGGGGGTGCACCCGAGGTCCTCTACTACGAGTTAAGCTGGAAAGTCGCCATATGACCTTTACTCTTTTGGTGTGACGTAAATCCCAACCAAAACCAAAATCATTAATATCTATAAGAATTATTGTTCGAAAAGTACACATTAATAAATCAGTGTAAATTCAAATTATATTGTGCTTTCAAGTGAATAATGAACGTTTCCCACCATCTAACGGGAAAAGAACAGTATCTTATCAGAAATGAAGTTTCCGTCTTCATTTGGCTTGATTTAAAGTTTTAAATGTAAATCTTTTAGAAAACCACTTTACAAATCTCACGGGGCATGACTCTTGTATAATGTAATGTATTAAATGCACACACGTTTGCGAGAGATTCACTAAAGTTATATTATATTTGACACATCAATGTAACGTTGCCATGGAGACAGATATTCCCAGCTGAATCAGCAAACAAGTGATGGAATAATGTTCTTGTAACAAAGGTCAAGGACGATCAATTTATGAAATAACTCCAATTCAAACATATGATTATCATATATGTATAAAATACCATCTCACGGTAAACAAGAGAAAACTCGCTGAAACACACGGCCCTAGCATATGTTTTTCATTAAACTCTTATGCATCACTGAAATTTCCAAGTTAAGTTTAAATGACGAATATTTACAAAAATAAACTATTGACTCTATTGTGCACTTATGACGCCAGTAGAGTATTTGAATTATTTAAATTAAAGGAGTATTTTTCACTTCACTGAGGAGCAAAAGACTAAAAAAATTAAATATGATTTTTACATAGATAAGCCTGGTAGCAAAGATACTCAGTTATAAGTCATAGTGAAGATACTCAGATATAAGTCGAAAATCCTATTTTGAACTCTCCATAACCCATTTTAAGTGAAAAGCGTTACAACGCTTTTCATTTGTCGGTTATATTTTCTTGATTAAGATAATTATTCTGGAAAAATAAAAAATAAAAACAAAGATAAAAAAACGAGAGAGCGAATGGTCAGAAATCTTGCACAAAAGTTTTTGGTCTATACCTACATCAAATGGAACATCTCGAATATCATTTCCAGTCCCGTCTTGTCACGTCAACCTCAGCGGAGTCCCTCTAATATTTATATATTTAATACTGAACTCAAATGACCATAAGAGGTTAATACACGGCAGGAGAGGGCCGGAAGGTGATAATCGGCCCGCAAAATGAATAATGGACCCGAGGGCTTTAGCCCGAGGGCCATTATTCATTCAGGGCCGATTATCACCTTCCAGCCCTACTCTGACGTGTATTAATGTCTTTAATACACTTGGTAGATCTAATAGAGTCTAGTAGCATTTAAAAAAAAACAAAAAAAAAACAACAAAACAACAACAAAGTTCTTTGTCTACTCTTCTACTGTTCTGTACAGATATGTTAACTGTTTGTGTGTTCAAAGCAGTAGAATCTACTAGAAGCAAGTTTTATTTTCATTTTATTTCGGAATTCATTTGTCGTATTATTTCTTCAAATTTCAATAGTAACAAAAA